CAGGGAATTTAACCATGACCTCCTGGGACAGGATAGAACTCCTGAGCCATGCCAGCCAGGTGGGTGGTTGCTGCTTTAGATAAAGGATCAGGAAAGGCTTCTTGGAGGAAGTGGCATTTGAACTAGTACCTGAATGAAGAAAGGAAACCTGTAATGCAAGTTTCCAGCTTCCTGAAGTTTCTGCATCAGTAAAATAAGGAACAGGGCTGCTTTGATGATGAAATGTGTGAGTGAATGGAAAGCACTTAACACTGACCTAGTAAGTATGTGAAGCCTACTGAGCATCTTTCTGGCTGGCTGTCCTCAAGACATCAAAGCCTAGAGCAGGGTTAGATTTTAATCTTATTAACAGCAAAGTAAGTTACCGAATCACCTCATATATGAGATTTAACTTATTCTCTAATTTCTAGATGTCATTTCACAATCAGATCCATCCCTTTGGATTGCTCCATACCTAATGATCTGTAAAGGTAGTTATTGTCACTATCCATCTACCTCTGGATTAGCTGGGCAAACAGCATGATCATGTTCAGATGACCAAATCCACATTTAATGTATCTGAAGATCTAGTCCAGCATTAACATAATACTGTGCATTTTAAGATATTTCAAAATTAGCAATTTAAACAGAAGTCCCCAGAGGCTGTGGTCTTGTCTTGCTGATGCCACTAGTTAGGTTACACAGCTAATTCCATCAGAGCCATTGGACCAAGTGTTAGTGTGTGTGAAGAGAGTCCATGAGTCAATTGCCAGCACAGAATTCTTTTTGACATAGGAAGGCAGATGATCTCAACTTTGAGTGCATACAGTGCAGCTTTCTAGTTGAATGGTTCTTGACAATAGTGTCCTCTGAAACATAATGCCTGGCCAGGAGCCAATGATTCTGCCACCAAACAAATCACTGTGCATCTGACGCCAGAACGCCTCTGTGCGATGGTAACAGGAGTTCTCAGCCCTGGTGTTCCACAAGATGTTGCACTGGCTCTTTTATTCTTTATCAGACCCTGGAATTAAAAATTTTATTTAGATTGTTTCCAGGAAATAAGTGCTGGTGGAGGGAGAGGAAAAGAGAGGGCAGGAGACTTTAGTGTAGTTTAAGAAATAGCTTTGCTATTTCATGATTCCCATTAGGACAAAATCAGTCTATGTTTTGAAACCCAGTTTTATTAATTGTTTAATAGATATTTTCACTTTAAATCTCATTTAATTCTAGAACGGGAACAGCTTGGTTCAAACTGTTAGCTAATGATCCATATATCATTTTAGTAGTTGCTAGTTACATTCAGAAATGCATTAATTTTGTAAGAATTATAGACTTTCAAATGTGGAAACAAGGAGTATTTTTAGATGAATAAATTAGAACACAAATTTGTTTCAAATGTTAATTTACTATAACATATTATAAACCTAAAATTAGTAGAACATTCTTAAAATAGTATAATTCTTCATTTAATTTGCCTTTAATTTTCTTTTTAAGATTAAAAGTAGACAGATAATACTGTATAAATACAATTGGTGATGTAAATGTTATCTAAGTTATGCAGTGTTCTTTTTGAAAAGAAATATGCACCAGTTAAAATATTTAGCCAAATTCCCTCTCTAATTTTAAAACTATTCACTGATTTAAAATTGCAGCTCTTTTTCTGGAAATAACTTCAGAACATTTTTACATCTCACATTAAATAAGTAGAGCTAAGCATCTTATTTGATAGGAATATTTTTCCCAATGAAACCAAACTTGCCAGTGTTTCTTCCTTTTAGTTGCTTTTCACTTAGCAAAACATTCTCTTTTCTTATAAGCTAAATATAGGTATTAAGCTACTATAAAAATTACAGGAGTCTCTTTTAAGTATGGCTAGAAACCCAAAAAGAAAATTAAAAAAAGATCATTGAAAAGGTTTCTTGTGGTTTGAAATGTCTTCCAAATATTCATTAAACATTTAAGTGAGTAAATTTGCAGAATATGTTTCTGACATTGGCACTGGTTCTGTGGTATTTCTCTGATCAGATGGAAGTGCTGTGTGTTATGCAGAGTGCATTCAGTCCATTCATGCATAAACAATATCATTTTCATAAATTAAAACCTTCCCTGCAGAAGGAACATCTGTGCCTGCCTTTGAATAAAAGATGGTGGCATGTGAGTTACTCCTTGACTGACTGGAAGAATCCTTATGTTTTAGAAAAAAGTTAAACAACCAAAAAGGCGGTGGGGTGGGGAGCAGATCAAACCTAACTTGCAGTCTCCATTTTTACCTTATAAAAATACCCCATAGTATAGATTTCTCTACTTGCTGTTTTAAACTCTTTTAATTCTTATAATGTCATTCTCTTATTTCTTTTGTTCACTATAGCAACAGTTTTTAGTTGGCATGAAGATGTCTAATTTTAATTACAGGTGAAATTGAGCTGCTGAATAGATCACATCAGATCTGAATGTTCACTTCATGGTCTCCTAGGCTGGGAGGATGGCACAGTTCAGATATCATATCATTATTATGTCTCTTAAAATAAGAGCAGAGAGAGCAATCTTGGATATGGGAAGCAACAGCTTGATTCCAAAACAACTCTGATTCACTTGGAATGAAATATTGCATTTTGGATAAGGTTAGGACTAACTTAAGAGCATTTCTGTCATGTGATGAAGGCTGATGGAAAACAAGCTAAAATAATATATTATAAAGTGCACTCAAACGTTTTCTTAATGTTGAAATACTCCTTGCTGCTACTGTCACAGCTTGATGGAGCCCCATTGGCGATGTTATTAGTAGGGCTAATTGTTCCTGTCCATTAGATTACTCACATTTTTCTGGAGCAGCTTGCTAAATGAGGTCAGCTTTCTGGAACCCCTAGATCACCAATGAGAAGGAGATTAAAGGAACAAGCTTGAGAAGGGTGGTAGTCATCCAGTGGGCATCCAAATCAGAGGAGGAACAATGGAGTTACTAATGACAGTAATCAGAGCACCAGGGTAGAGCCAGAGCACAAGTGCCAAAATGTTATTCCCTAGGAATCTTTCCTGTCACTCAATACATCCAGAGGAACAAAAATGCCAAACTTTTTTTTTTTTAGTGGACTTTACAATGGACAGAATCTTCTGTAAGTTTTCCCAGTGAATTTTGTTTATGAAAGAGCACAATAGTGCTCCAATCGCCCCTTCCAACAATATATTATAGTATAAAGAGTATGTTCTTCAGGAAAAGTAATTCATTACCTTTTTTCTTGGAAAAATTATTGAAATCATCATAAGGTGTTTATAAAACCATTACAAAATGCCACTTCTTGGGTTCTTTAAATTAATTAAATAATTTATTCCAGACATTTTCTAAAGGTATATAACTTTCTTTTGGGGATAGTACTGGTTTCTATTAGAGAACATTTCAGCTCAGGAAAATATACAGATAACAAAGCACTAAGCAAATGGTAAAGTTTTTAAACATATTTTTTAATATGTTGGCAAACTAAACTAGGTACTTGTTTGTATCTTGCTCGTTAATAATTAACTTAATGCCCCTTTAAAAAATTGAAAACATGTAACATAATAATTTAAAAGAATGAAAACCCAAAAGCTAAATGTGAAGATGCTCGAAGCAAAGAAAAGCAAAAACAACTGTTTGTCTCCCCACGACCCTCCCTCGCTCCCCTCCCCCAACAGCTTCATATTCCAAGTAGTGAAATATCACGTAGGTCCTCTCCTTATCTACAAAGATCTGATGACTTCCTAAGCAAGATAAACAGACTAGAAAGTATGCTAAAGTAAACTTTTCTTTTTTGTTTTATTCTACAAATGCTGCTTAGTATTTTCTTAACTCAGCAAATAAAGCAACTATTCCACTTAGGAATTATTTATACAAAAAAATCACTTTAAAAAGAACTGCAGCAATTGCTCAGATTTTTAATACTATTTTATTGCAATTGAATGAGTGTCTTCTAAATTGTGCATTACACCATAATATACAGGATTACAAACAAGATTACAGTACAGATCGATTGCAGTGGTACCAGTATCACGTTTCAAACAGCACTTAGTCCGGACTGCATTTTACATGCAATAGCTATTGTCTAATTATGAATGAAATGGTTTGAATTTATTTAAGCTATGTACTAACTGACTACAATAGTTATAAATCCAACATTAACAACCTGATTTGATTTAGGCTCAGATTCATTACATGAGTATATGACAAACCACCATTTGTGTGACTATGTATAAAATCATGCATTATATTTTCTAGAAACATCAATAGCTTCAGATTCTCTGTAAAATCGTGGGATGCAAAGGAGTAAAAGACTAAAAAGAAACAGTGCAAATTGTATGTGATAGTCAAGCAGCTTTTGATTTAAAGAAGGGTATGTTGGCATTTGTTTATAATATGTATATAAAAGCTTGTGCAAGCAATGATTTGATATGTTTGATAGGAAATACATTTCTTTTTCATCCTCTTGAGTGTTGTGGATCTGGTTTTCATTTTAAAGAGAGGGACAGACTTTAAAGTGAAATGAATTGCTCAAATTGTGCAATTTTTTTTAACAATTAGAGAGGAAAGAAGTGCTAAGGCAACACAATAACTTTCTAAGCACTTTTCTGCTGGTTTAAATTAGTTAAATTATTTTGTATAAATTAGATATAATTCTACTTTTCTGATATGTATAAAAATTGATGAAGCTGCATGGTTTTAAAATAGGAAATCCACATTATAAAAAGTCATTAAAAATTCTGTACAAAATCACAACAAAATAATTCAGCATGGGAAAGGTAACAAGTAGTAAAATGCTGGTTGAAAAATATATATTTATATATATTTTAATTGGCCCATTACTAGTTTAAAAATTGCATAGATCCTAATTATTGCTTGTGATTTTGTTATCCCGATCAGATAATTAATATGATCTGAATACAGCTACACCAAATTTGTGGTGCATTTTTTTTTTACTTTACTGTACTACTTTTTTTTTTTTTAATAGAAGAGCTATAGAAAATAATACATCAGGTCAACAGGAACTTTGATCCCCTGTTTCTTCCAAAGGCAGTAACGACAATAAATACATATATCACTTGAAGCTTGGAGTATTTGCACTTTGCAGCAGTAGTACCCAAAGGGCTGCCTTTTGTAAACACGACAGTCACTGTAAGCACAGTGGGTTCGCTTCCGGGCGTGGTGAAACTGACGTGCCTCTAATCGTGAAAGATGGCATTGAGCTGGGCACTCATGACTCGCTCATGATGTGAATGGCTATCGAAGGACATGATATTGTCTATAGGGATCTCACAGCGAGGGGCAGCGGCGCCCGAGAAGATGGATCCGTGGCTTTGGGCCCCTGCCAGGGTCGCTGCAGGATAGTGCATGGTAAAGGCATAATTTTTCTCAAACTCGGCGGACGGTTCGTGTTTGAAAGAGAAGTTGCCATTGATGCTGAGCGGCGGGCTGAGGGGTCCATCAAAGGAAGGGCTGGTGCAATCAGTCAGGGGGCTTTCAAAGAAGGGCTCCAGCGCGGCGCTGTAGGCGTGCGGCGGCGGCGGCTTGACGTGGAAGACGTGGGAGCTGTCCATGGTGCCGTAGGGCGGGCTGGGCAACCCCGGCGACTGGTAGGAGTAGGGGTGCACAGGGAAGGAAGCGCTGGCGGTGGGCAGGTGCGGGGGCATTTCCTGGTTCTGCTCCGGCAGAAAAGTCCGAGGATTGAGCTGCAGGCAGCCCGCAACCAGGTTGGTGGTGGGCTGGGATAAGCCCTTGCAGAGCGTCTGTACGAAGGAGACCAGATCCGGGCTTTTGCCGGAACGCAGGATCTCCGACAGAGCCCAGATGTAGTTCTTGGCCAAGCGCAGCGTCTCGATTTTGGAGAGCTTCTGGGTCTTGGAGTAGCAGGGCACCACCTTGCGCAGGTTGTCCAGCGCCGCGTTCAGACCGTGCATGCGGTTCCGCTCCCGGGCATTGGCCTTCATGCGCCTCAGCTTAAAGCGCTCCAGGCGCGCCTTGGTCATTTTCTTCTTCTTGGGGCCGCGTCTCTTGGGCTTTTGATCATCGTCCTCCTCTTCCTCCTCTTCCTCCTCTTCCAGGTCCTCGTCTTCCTCCTCCTCCTCTCCCCCGTTCCTCAGTGAGTCCTCTTCCGCGTTCATCGTTTCTAGGTCGTCCTCCTTCTTGTCTGTTTCGTGCTCCTCGTCCTGAGAACTAAGACACTCGTCTGTCCAGCTCGGAGGACCCTGGGGCTGAGGTTCGCCCATCAGCCCGCTCTCGCTGTATGATTTGGTCATGCTTCGGTTTCCTACATTCAATAAGGGAGAGAGAGAAACAGAAAGAAAAAAGGAGAAAAACGCTACATTCAAAAAACTTCATATGCCTTCAGCTCCCACTTCCTCATCCTGTAAAAATGCATGGGAAGTGCAACTCCTTACAAAATGAATGTCCCTAAGGAAAAGTTAAATGCAGTGTTTTATAACGGCATGTATGTGCCCCGCTGGTACGTAGGAGACAAGGCAGAGCGGGGGGTGGGGTGGGGGAGAGAGTGGCTACGTGTATATGTACACTCCTGTGTGTATGTTTCCTAGTGACCAACTTAAGTCTTTTTATGGGGATTACCCGGCAGGAGAATATGTGTGAAAACGAGTGTACCTTTCCGTGACTTTACGCTTGTCTGTATGAGTTCAAAGTCACAACGCCACAAAAATAATGAGTTTGAACATCTCAATTCTGTTCCCGTCTCTGTCCTGGCTTCTCAGTACTCAGAGATTAAAGTTGAAGAGCCATTACGTAATTTACCGACGCTGGCAGTGATTTTTAAGAAGATTATACTAACGGGAGATTGAAGAGCAAATGCATGGTGGACGCAAAGTACTTTCAACCAAATAATCTCACCATCAACAAAACATTTTGGGGGCGGGGGAAGTGGGCAGGGATCTTCCATGCCACCCTGGCCTTTCTTTCCTGGCCTCCGCTGAAAATCCGCCTTGTACAAAAGCGCCTGTTTGGGGCGAGGGCTGGGGGCGCGGCGAGAGCGCTCTCCCAGCGCGGGGATCAGGTGCGGAAGGCTCCTGCCTAATAAACAGCCCATTGAAAAGGCTGCCCGCTCTTTATTGGGCCTTTTCGAAGTTCTCCTCAAACCTCCCTCTAAAAGATGGAGTCATTATCATGGTCAGCAGTTGGCAGTGGCGAAGTTAGCGCGTTTAATAAGAGAAATAAAAAGCATTTAGTGAGACAACTGAATTTCTGGTTTCTGCAGTGGCTGCTGGGGACTTGGCCGCCTCTGGAGCAGTAACAGGTAGTAGGAGGGAGTCCTGCTCCCTTCTCCACATTTCCCCTCCTCTCAACTAAACTTTCTCCCAACTCGATTTGCTTTCCAGGGTGTGTATACCCAAGGTATCCATGTCCCATTCATGCGCTGAAAAAAAAAAAATAACTTGGCGCTTCCAATGTGCATCACATACATGCACACAACATAAATCCTGGTAACAAGGGCTTTTTTTCTTACTGGAATAAGTAAGAAAGTAAAGTAGTGCATTGCTTTCAGGACTTTGAAATCACCATTAGCAAACGACCAGAGAGTTATCTGCCTTATTAAAAATCCAAAGATGCTTCTATTCTTCACCTCCCCCGCCTCCCCCCCCCCAATTTTTTAAAATAAATTTTAAAATCAGAAAGCTTGCAGTAGGTATTTGAGTGACGGGAGTCAAAATGCGTGTATACGTGCCAGCAATCATGGGGAGGAATGCCTGTTTACACACACACACACACACACACACACACACACTCACGCTCACAAACGCACAGATACAGAATTTCTAGGGACATTAGGTCTTCAGTTACTGCTTTTATTTCCAAGCAAAAAATGAAAGGATTGTAATTACCTGCAGTTGTTAGTAGGTCCTGAGCAGTGATGGTCTCATAACCCTGGGGCCTCCGGACGTCGTGCCTTCTGCGCGGGACGAATTCCTCGTGTCCCGGCCGCGCGGGCGCTCAGGTTATATAGCCGAGGTGGTGATGCTGAGAGCGGGCGGGGCCGGGAGCCGAGCGCCCGCAGGTCCCGGAGCCCAACGCCCGCGCATGCGTCCAGGCTGTGCGCTCCTCTCCGCCTCCCCCTCTCCCCCGCCCCTCCAGCCTCGCTCCTCTCCGACCCTCCTCCTCCTCCTGCTCCAGTCTCCCGCAACCCTACCTCCGCCCCTTCTCCATCCTCCCCAGCACGCGCCATATGGTCCTTCCAGTCCGGCCAAGAGCCGGGAACCACGTGACCTGCCCATTTGTATGCCGCGGAGAGCTTCATTCCGGCCCCTTTGTGGCCCAAAGAAAGTGGCCCATCTGTCGCCAGTTAGAGACTCCGCGGACCAGTTTTTACCCGCAGGAGACATTAACCCTTTCAGGCGGCAGAAGGGGGAGCCGCCGCTGGGCAGGGGGGTGGGGTGAGGGGGGATTTGAGGAGAGGAAGCGGGAAAGCTAACTGACTACGTTTAGATCGGAGGGAGAAGCCAGCGTCGGGGCGAGAAGTAAGGCCGGGGTGAAAGAGGCGGAAACGCGGGGTCTGGGGCGCACAGGGACGCGTCCGGTCTCCTTTCCGTTACTCGCACAGGCACTGCCCTCCTGGGCACCAAGGCTCCCTGTCCTCTCGGAGGTGCCCATCTCTTGGCAGACGCTTTGCTCATTGGCGCCCAAAGGTGGCTTCTGCGAATCTCTTCCAGCCCCTTAAGCAAACGTACACGCCACATAGAACGGCTTCATCTGTCAAAGCAGCTTTGAGATGGTCCTCTAACCCCCTTCACTGGATCGCCCACTCCCAGCCCCTCGCCTCCGGGAGAGTAATTTTGTACCTGTCATGCTACCCCACCCGGTGAGCTGACCTTCAGGTACCCTTGTCCCTGGAGACCCCTCACTAGGCCGGGCCACTTGGCCCCGTTGGCCTGGGAGCTCTCTTGCTGGAGAGCTGGGCGATTTCTCTTGACTCGTGGAGTCTGCCTTTTAACCAAGGCCATTGGACGGTTGCCCTCACCCATACATCCCTGGTTCCTGCCACAGGCTGCTTCGTCCCCTTAATCCCCACTCTGTAAACAGGTATTGGGTTCAGAGGAGACTTCTCAGAGGGAGGGTGCAAAGGGCCTGTGCCAAATGGGTCTATCTGGCTCCCCTTTAGGGAAAGGCCACTAGCACAAGTCTGGGAAGAGCTAAAGGCCAGGACTCTCCAGACCTCAGAGGCTCTGGCTTGATGTGACCTCCACCTTTAGGGTCATGCGAAGACCACTCAGCTTCCCAACTAATTTGGAAGGACCCATATTTGTGTTTAAATGGCGATTCTTTCATTATTCACTTGTTTCCAGCAAGGCATGTTAGACAATGATAGTTTTTTTTTTAAGTTGGCCCGATCCCTTCCCTGTCCACTCTTTCTCTGTCCGCTTCACCTCTATTCCTCGGTTAACTAACCCCTTCTCCCCTCCCAGGCCCAGTAGCCCCTTGCAATGAACCAGGGAACTTGAGTTGCTTATTTAAAGGCAACTCCTCTAAATGCCCCTTGAGTCTGCAAACAGTGTGGGGTTGAGGGCTGGGCTGGGTGCATCTGGGAACAGGAGGGGGTGTGGACGGCAGGGGCAGAGGGTCCCAAGGAGATGGCTGGTGTCTGGAAAGTGGAGGTGGCAGCTTCCCAGGCTGGCACAAACCTGGTGGGGGGTAAAGGGTGTGTGACTGGACCCGTTGCCCAAAGCATGAATTGTGCTGACTTTCCAGAGCAAACTGTACAGAGTTTTTGCTTTTCTGGATCTCTCGTTGGTGTGCAAAGAGCACAGTGGAGGGTAAAAGGATTTAAGAACCTAGGCTCCGTGTTTACTCCTGTGTCTTTAGTGATGGGTTAAAGCTTGAGAGACATCCGAGGAACAGCCTGCAGAGACCGGCCCACACTCCGACCTCCGAGGACCAATGCGGCAGCGGCCCCGCGGGCTGGCCCACCGCGTGTCCGGGTTGTGGGGCTCACGTCCTGGCTCCCCTCGGGGGAGAAGTTGGGGGCGGGGTGAAAGCAGGCCCCAGCTGCCCCGAGGCCCAAGGGTGGCCAAGGGAGCTACTCCTCCTGCCCCCTCCCTCCGAGAAGAAACTACTCCCCCCAGTTCGCGACACCCTGTGGAGCGCAGGGAGCTCTCGGTGCGGCCGCTGTGCTGGGGCTGGGAAGTGAACCGGTTTCACCAGCCGAGAGCCTAACGCGCCAAGTGCGGGAATTATTAGAGTCGTTCCCTCCCTCTGCTGATAAACTCATCCCTACCCCACTGCCCGTCGATCGCCTAGGCCAGGGATTGGTACAAAGAAAAGGCCACTCCTGGATGCCCAGAAACCTGGCGAGGGCCGGTCTCCCAGCCCGGGACGCTCCGTGCGGACCTGCCTCCGTGCGGGGACTGTCTACCCCCCCCCCCCCACCCCGCGTCTGCAGCCGGTGCACGGAGTGCCCGCCGGACCCCTGGGGGGCTGCAGCGGGCTGGTCAGTCCCCAAAGGGAGGCGTCCAGGAGTCCAGATTGGGCCTAAATGGAGGTGCTTTTTGTTGGGGGTGGGGTGGGGGTGGGGGCGAAAAACCGGGGCCGGAGGTAGTGGAGCGCGGGGAGAGGACAGCTCAGTGCCGGGCCCACCGCCGAGCCCTGTCCTGCCACCTTCTTTTCTTCTCTTTCTTTGAACTTTGTTCCGACGGTTGCACACTTCCCCCTCCTGCTTCCCCAATTCTCTTCCTGTCCTCCGCCCCCGCCGCCCATTAACGGCCTCCCCTCTCCAGCTCCGGTCCCCACGGGGCGCCGCAGGCGGCTGAGCGGCACGCGCACTGCACGCGCGGCCCACAAAGCGGCTTTCATGACTCAGTGCCCTCGAGCAAAGCCCCGAATCCGCCGCCCCGTACCCGCTCCCAGCGCGCAGCGCGGGCCGGGCGG